ATATTGATATGGTGTAATTTGTGAGCCTGCTGTGCAAGCTGCAATGAATGTGAGGAATCAAACACAGCCATTAAGCGAGTAGCATTGTCCACGGTGTCATTGCCCTCAGTGAGGGGGCCGGGAAGGCCAGTGTGAGCTCTAATGTGGGCCACAAAAAATGGGTTGGAGCATTGTAAAATAAGAGTCTGTATGGTGGAAAAAAGTGTTGAAGCGGGAGTGGAAGGCTTAATATAAGGGACAGTTTCCAGAAGGGGAAGAGAGGCCGCAATATAGCAGCTGTCTGTGTATAGGTTAAAGGCTTGGGGAAGTGTTTCAAAAACTTTAACAACTGCGGAGAGTTCAACTAGTTGTGCTGAGGTGTGTTGGGTGGGCACCGCATTGAAAGCATGTTGTACCCCTGTTTTGGCCTTGGAAGGCGACAAGGGCCTTAGTAATCTTGTGCATAAAAGGATCTGCCTCCCGGCAGAGATTAATCATGTCCTGCAGAGTTTTGGCTTTGGAGTTGTGTTTTAGAATAGCTCTGCAGGTCTCATTAGCATTTTCAAAGGCTAATTGTCTAATGAGGGCGTTGTCTGCCACAGTGGCAGTTTCACCGAGGGCACGCTCAGCCTCGGGGCCCTGGATGATCTTTGAGAGAGGTGCTGCCGTGCTGATCAAAGTAGTCAGCGAGCTCGCGACCAATCTGGTCCCATGTGGAAGGCACAATTTTGGGGCAGGTGATAACGAACCAGGGACATACTTTGTGTACAAACAGCAGAAATTGCAAGAGATCTTTCTTTCTAACTTCAATATTACGGTTTTTCAACTGCTTTTTTATATCAGAGATAAATTTAGCTCCTTCACTAACTGCGTTCCCCATATTCTCGGGGAACTTTGGGACGGCGGCTGTGCCTTAGCTAAGATTTGACTAACCCCAACCCTGCACCACCCGGATGGGGCTTACCTGGTGTCTGACGGGCGGGCTCCGGACTCGTCGTCTCTCTGCCGTCCGATCGGGAGTCGGTAACCTCTGTAAACCACGTTGGGCGCCAGTTGCGGCTCTCTGGGGGGACCCCGTCCCGCGGGGAATAGGAGGTGAGAGCCGCCTCTTATTCGTGGGTCATCAGAGGCCGATCCGATCTTGAATGTCTGTGGAGGAAATCTTTAAGAAGTTAGAGTACACGGCCCAAGTCTGGTTTCTGATCAAAGGCGCTTTATTGGCTCAGCAAAACGATTATATACTGTTATCCCAGGGGGAAGGTTCAGCAAGCTTATTGGACAGTTCAAACAAATCAATCACATGAGTCACTCAAGCATTTAACCATACAGCAATCAGTATTTTACCAAATGTGGGGAGGGGTAAGTGGGAAGGCGTACATCAACAATTAACCCTATGCAATCTTTAACTTCACAATCCCTAGGGGCAAGCAGGACAAGGAAATACCACCTGCTTCCTGCTCCAGATCCCGTGACCCTGTGGTTAGCACAAAGGGCTATTCTTTCTGTAAGATTTCCTGTTTACCCAGGGGCTAGACCTGCCAAAAGTCACGTATGTAGTCTAGTGGGATTTTTCCACCGAGGCAAAGGCTAAGGTTGAGGGCAGCCATCTTGTGCAGGCCCAAGCAGTCTCTCACATTTTGGCAGTAGCCCTGGAAGCCTCTTTCATGACTTTAGTTGTGCTGTCTTCGCTGACTGGACGTCCTGAATCTGGAATATTTACCGTTCGTGATTACTTTGGCTTAGGGGAAGAGCCAAAGCGTGCGTGGTGCCGCGTATGGTCGATACAGACTTTGCCTTTTCGTTGGATGGCTCTTGGCAGCCGCTTTCACTACAGCTTGAATCACCTCAGAAGGACACTCACGAAAGAGGACTTGCAGACCGCTTCAGAAGGTGGCAGGGACAGTGGGATGAGAGTGTGAGGGAGGGAGAGGGTTCTGAGGGGAATTAACCCAGTGTGTCTTTCACTGTGATGTATATTTGTTAGAAATGTGCTCACCATTTTTTCAGTCAAACCTTGTACACACCAAATAATTTCAGTGAGGACAGTGCTAATATTCTACTGCAGAAACTGAGGCACCTAAGTGGAAATTCACATAGCTAACAAATACAGTTTGGATTCAAATTAAGCAGACTGTCTCCAAGGCTGTATTTATCCCTATTGTTCCCTGTCACTGAACTTAGGCTGACAAAACTACTCTTTCCTGCTGGAGTAGAAGGCGTGCAGCTATTCCAGGACCCTTGCTGTCACTAAAAATGATTTCCCTCTCCTGCAAGCCCTTTCTTTACCAGAGGAGGGACGTCCCCTACGTGGAGTGATGAGGAGCTATGCCCTGCACTTTTCTGAGTAACTCAGGCGGGACGGAAAGCAGCCTCAGAGGGTCACATGTGCGTTATCAGTTCTGTGAACTGGTGCCTCTGTTCCAAGACACAGCCATCTAGAGTAAAGATTATCTACATTGCACTCTACTAAAATTATAAAGTTAGCTTTTCATCAGCCAGAGATACTTTTGGACAAGCTAACATAGTATCTTTCAAACACCTTTGGATTTCCTCGGACACTCAAAGGTGAGTAAATGGAGGCAAAGCTAACCATGTCGGCTGGTGCAAAATGTAGAAGGTGAGTTTGTGGTGAGGCTTGTGTGACGTCCGGTTTCTACAAAATCCTGAGTAAAAATGGCTTTGCTCTCAAGAGTTCTTGGTACAGGGCCAGGGAATTAGGTCAGCGGTTCTGCCACCTGCCTCACAAGTGCAAGGTCCCGGGTTCGATCTCCAGTACCAAATAAACAGAGCAAACAAACAAAAAAGATATCTAATTCAGAGTTCTCAGTACAGAAGATTTATTCTGGTAAATGCAAATATGTCCATTTTCAAAGAATTGGTGACTGGAAATAACTAGATTATGTTCATGTTGATTTGCAAAGTCCATTGAAACTTATTTTCAACAGAATTAATGCCTGATTTTATATATTATATCACATTAAAATGCAGTAGCCCCAAAGTTATAGCAATTAGTCGAGCAAGTGTTCCATAATCATATTTTTTCATTGAACTTCAAATATAGATTTTTCCAAATTTTAACCTTAATTTTTGTCAAGAATTTGACCAGTGTATTACCCTTACAAAGATAAATTTGCAGAGAACTACAGATATTAAAATGTATGAATTTCCCAAAGAAATAATGCACTTATTTAATTCTCACTTTCAGAGCTTTAAACAAAGGAGTAATTACATGTGTATTTACTGATGAAAATAGTGAAGAAATTCAGACGTTTTAGAGGCTGTTGAAATTAGCACAGTTTTGGGTGAAGGGAGGGCAGGGACGAGGGAAAACATGAGAATCAAGACCTGTCATGTAAAGGTACAAGATCCCAATGATGAATGTAACTGTACTGTATACCTAAAATGTACCAGTAAACGAGAGAGAGAGAGGAGAGAGGAGAGAGAGAGAGAGAGAGAGAGGGAAATTATCACAGTTTTTTATCGTGTAAAGAAAATCTTTAGGATACATAGTAATTTTTGCTTTATTTAACTGTTTATTTTTAAACTAAATCTGTGAGCCGAGTTTTGAAAATCTCAGTAAACTTTCTAAATCTTTAATCATGAAGTATTATACCATTTACTGCTCTTATTTGATCCTTTACACACAAGCAACTTAGTTGCAAGAGAAAAATCCTGAAACTGCACAGATGGTACTACCACATATCTGTGGTATTCATAATTCATGAGTCTCCAACCTAAATATGACAATAGCTAACATCAATTTTACTGTGAGACAGGCAATGTGTGAGACACTTCCCAAGAACTGTTTATTCAAGACTTAAGCACCTCTGTGATTAGTTAAGTATTTATACCTTCATTTTAAAAGTGAAAACAGCCTAGGTGAGGCTGCCGTTTGTCCAGTTTTATACACTTACAAAATAATGGGAGCTAAACTTGAAATCACTTGAAATTCCACACCGACTGTGCTCTTAAGTACTAGATTCTTTACCTAAAATTATCTGTTCTTCCTGGCCAATAACTTCTCGAATTTATAATAGCAAAGAAATCTCTAAATACTCTCTTCTTTCCACTTGAGCTGAACAGCGGACTCTTCCCAGAGAGGCATCGCCTTCTCAGTCTTCTTCAGGTTTCTTTCCGCAGCACGTAGGCTCCTGTGGCAATGGAGTTAAGTTTGATAATTCTTCTGTAACTTTGTGCGATAGACACAAAGTAACTTTATTAAAAAAATGAAGATAAAAACTCCTCTAACCTGAGGCCAAAAGGTAAAAAAGGGTTGAAATTCTTTGTGAGGAGTTAAAACTAACTGCTTTTTATAGATAGAGGTAATCAGAGGGAGGGCAGAGAGACTGGGGCACTCAGTGGAATTTAATGTTTTGTAGAGATGAAAATATAGACAATAATTAATGGATGCATCCAGATTATGTGTTAAAACGTATTTTCTGAAATTTTGGGGAGCATTGAATGCAAAAAAGTACTTTGAGACAACTACAGATATGATAAGAAAATGATTAACAGAAAGGTCAGAATAGATAACTTTATATTAAGATCAATAGTGTGTCCTTTTAAAGACTTCTAGAAACATCATGACATAGAAAAACAGTTATGTTACAAAAGATAATGAAGTTGAAAATGACTATAGTATTAGCATATACATTAGCAAAAGCTCAACAAATGTGGACCTAAATATGCCAATATTGTTTGTTATTATTTGTTTTGGTCCTACAGCTAGAAGAGGTCCATATTTTCAACAGTGATTTCAGGAAATAAAATAGCTGGACATGGACAATTATTAACTTGTGGGAGTAATATAATGGATACTAAAATGAGCAGCATTTTGAAAGCCATTAAATATGAATGTAGTCATTATGATATCTATATTGCCTCTTACTGGGACTCTTTATCCAATAGGTGGATAGATTTTGGTAGGTTTATTTTCAGAAAACAGTACTCATTGATAAAATGAAGGCAATGTTGAAATGCCACCTTCTCTTAGGAGCTGAGGGTGTGTGCATGTGTCTCCAGATGTATATATACACCTGTGCATGCCTGTGTGTTTCTGCTTAGGTCATCTTGAGGATCACGTTTCGTCCATAAATATTTATAAAATAACCCATTACTTTATAAACCCAAATAATTTAATAAGCCCAAATAACTTAATAACCCCAAATAACTTAATGTCTTCACAAAATCAATGAGTTAACAGAAAAATTGTGTCAGACCACATAAGCTGTCTTGCAAAATTTAGGCCACAATTTAATAAAAGGCACAAACTTTCCTCTAAATAGTAAATTAACCAGAAACTTAAGACTAATAGGTCTTACTTACTTAGGAAAGAATTTTATTAATAAAAGGAAAATGAGAAGGGCACGGGAAAAGAAGAAAGTTGATAGTAAGAGGGCACAAATCAAATTAGTTTGATACCACTTTCATCAGTGCGAGATATAAAGTAATAGAAATATTTAAATTTGTTTAAAACATTAGTCCTTCAAATATTTTTGGATTTTTAACTGACCTGGTATATGTTCAGAAATTTAGTCTTCAAATGCCAGTTTAAAAAATAGCATCTGAGTATTTGTTAAGTAATTTTTTGGATGATGCTTATTTATTTATTTATTTAGGTACTGGGGATCGAACTCGGACCTTGTGCTAGTGAGGAAGGTGCTGTGCCACTGAGCTAAATCCCTGGCCCACTCTTTTATGTTTTTTTTTTTGTTTCATTGAGTTTATTGGTACTTTTTAGGTATACAGTACAGTGGCAACCACTCTTTTATTTTTTAATTCCATATTCAATATAAATTCTTTGTTCCTGACAGAAATAAAAGTTAGGCTAAGTCTGTCATAGATTTACATATTCAAGCTTGCTAAATATCTGTCCAGGTTACTGATATCTTGGTTCAAAGTGTGAGTCTTTATCTACAGTTTCTTTTCTGTGTGTATGTATGCATGTTTTATGTATGTGTGTGTCTCTCTGTCTGTCTGTCTCTGTCTGCCTGCTTATTTATCTATTATCTGTTTGTCTGGTCACCTACTCACATTCCAGACATTAATTTAAATGCTGGAGCGTACACTGCAGAGATGAGTAAGATGTGGTCCTGGTTCCTAGCTCACTTATAAAAAAATATTATAA